GCCCGACCACCACGTGATGATTAGTGATGCTGATATATAATGGTTTACACCATAATAGTATATGAACCGAGATTCAAAGTACAAACCAGTTATTCATACTGTTGTATGCTTAAAACGTGAATACAGAAGCTAACATTAATTAATATGGCTAACAAGCGTTGTAAAGAATGACACGAACATCTATTTTAATAGAATTATCAATTCTGGAAAGTTTTTGGAATGATTTTAATTTTGATAAGAAGTTCTCTGTATAACCAATCAGATTTTAAAACAACCCGAAGAAATACAGTTAAAATTCAGTAAAGTTTATGAATAGTATTAATTGGATACAGTTACGACATGCATTAGCACTTTCGTTTACATTTCATAATAAGTTCTGCATACAAATCTGATCATTTTATTATTACTCAGTTTAAAAGGGTAAATACACTTACTGTCTTCCATCCAGCCTGCTTTTGTCAAATTTTTGTTTACTTCTTGCCAAAAGTCTAGTGTCACATTACTGGGCACCATACGAATAAGGCGATCAGCTAGTCTAAAATTATCATAATAACGAAATGATTACTAATTTTAAGATAGGACAGTAAAATAAGCCATCGTCATAAAATATTGTTTGGATGTATGAATAAAACAATACGTCTAACAATTATATGAATAATCATGACTCCGATAAACGTATCACTAACCGTTCCAATGTCCATCGGCTGAACTATTTCCATTAGTTAAAACAATAATTTGGCTCTTAGCTGACCTTTCTTAAAATTTCAACAACGAAAGAGTTTATTTAAAACAGTAGAAAGCATAATTAATTCCCAACATAGTTTTTTTTAAAATCTACCATCAAGTAGCTTTTAACTGCACACAAAATCCGCCAAATTCATTTCACTGTTGCAAATTGACTCGTATAATAACTTGGTCATCCAAAAATTTTCTCAGGATCAACATTAACTAACAAATGCTTATCAACTGCAGTCCTGTATACTAACAACGAGGAATTGGACATATTTACTAATACATTCATAACTACTAAACTAATTAGTGGCTATCTAGAACTACTGTATGGATGAGCAAAAAATTGGACGCACTGAATCCAAAACTGAGTGTGAACATCAACACTATGATATAGGTACATTTAGTTAATTAGCTCCAAGTAGGATGAAGTGCTCATTCTGTATTCCACCGCTAGTCGTATACCGAATATAAAAATACCATCGATTTTGTTAAATTTAAAGCTGAAAGAAATCTAGGGGAAATTTTCATAAAAATATATGCAATTCTGAAAAATTGACTAATGCAGAAATTTATTAAATTATCAGGTCACCAATCATTATAGATAAAAACAATATTTAGTCACTAATTACATACCTTGTTGGTTTTGAGTATGTTTTTGTACGCCTTTGATTGGAAGCCTCAAACCTCGTATGTCGACAAATTGAAGCATTCACGGTATGTTGATCCTTTGATAGAAATAAAGAGAATACAATGTTGAATTTACACCAGTAAAACTGAGGAAAATTCTTATTATACTAATGAAATGACAAACTAAAGTCATTTCATTCTTTACTACTTACAAGTAATAAGACAATTAATGTAAAAGTTTACAACTGATAATATCTTTATCACCTACTATGAAAAATACCTACTCGAGATAATCAATCAATACATCATATCTGCACGATATTTATTGAAGAAAATCAGTATGTTAAGTGTTGAATTCAACAAAACATAATAATATTGAGTATAGTAGTATTGTTTTAGGTATGTATAACAAGTCCCTAAGTTCGGTTAACTGACAACTTGTTTCTTTGTTGCAACATATCCCTGCTTATTTTATCTTTTCAGAGACATTACTTCTGAGTGGTAGCGTAGTTACAAATTCGAACATCCTTTTTTCTTCAATGATTCATTCATTACACGAATACTTTTTAAAGTAAACTCCACATATCAACTTAGCCTGTTAATAGTTCGTTTATTTATTAGCATTTAGTATAGTACAGTTTTTAGTGTACAACTCATTGATAAAATCTCAAACAATAGAACTTGAGTGGCTAGCATGTAATTAGGATTTGGTGTATAGAACTATCTAAGTAATTGCTGTTATTGAGATTATCTAATGTTTTAGACAGGCTAAAAACCAATTCTCTCATATATCGAGTTCAATGTCTCACAGCCTAAAACACTAAAACACTCATTCCAATATAGATTTCAAAGAACTCAACCTTCTTTTAATAACAGTTCCTGGCAATTTAATTACGATATTAAAGGCTCTATGTCACAGTATTGTTCTTGGAGATTTTAGATAAGAGAATAGGAATTAAACAATAATGTGGAAGATTTGTAGCTTAGATGGACAATTTTGGTGAAGTTTTGTTCTTTGAGCTGAACGATTTAATCGTAAAGCCTTCATTCTTCGTACGAAACAACATTACCAGGACAAGATTTAAGAATAGGTTCGGCAAAACAAACTGTCGGTTGTATGTACTTTTCCTCAGACAACGAAACTTCAAAATTAAATAGTAATTATATATATGTTGTCTTGATTACAAACTTATTGTAGAGTTTGCTATTCAATATAAATAGTCAATTGAATTTCAACTTATCACTTAATTTTCTTGAGTGCTGTCAAAAATAAGAGGGCGATCATCACTTCCCGGCCACCCACACCAAATAAGGGTTCATCTAGAGGCACCTGAAAGGGAAATTAGGTTAGGGATGGTCTTAGTGACTTGAGAGTGTATCCACAGTGCCCAAGTGACAACTGCTTCAGGTCGGTCACACATGACCTTCTCGTGAGTATTTTCCGTGTTAGCTCCATATTTGTTGCGTCTTCAACACCGGAGACGGATATGCGTGAGATAAGGTGAGGTGTGCATTTTTAGAGTCGACCTTTTCTAACCCCACCACCAGCATCGCTGTAATGCTGGTTGTCTGAATGAAACGCCTAACTGCTGTCACACCTCTATACAGTCAGCGGTACGACTTTGCCCTCGGATCTTGGATTTGCTCCTATTAGTCTTACAGCTCATCAAACGACCTGTGTCATGGTAGGACCTTAAGGAACGATTGTTCGAGCCAGTATAGCTCGATTGGTTCATTACGATATGCATGCCCGACCACCACGTCAAAGTAGCATTGAAGTAACTGCTTTTATGAATTCGGTGTTAACCTTCTTGTGTTAATGAGATGTGGCTACTTGGGCAGGCGCATATACGTGCCTACTTTCTAGCTGACTGACTGACTGACACTTAAATTGGTAATTATAAAGGATTTATCAAATGAAAACTATTGTGTTGAGACCGTATAATTCATTTTTACAAATAATTGGTTCACAAATTAAAGTCATAAAACTATTCTCTCTTTTTTAATCTTCTAACCTAAAATAATAATAATAACAAATAAATACAAAATCACATTGAAGAACTTTGGTTCTATTGATCAGTATGATATTCTTATGTGCTCATTATTAATTCATCAGCTTATATTTTTAAAAATAGTCAGTTTCGTCGTTGAGTATCACAATACTCATTCGATATTCAAACTTATACTTGAAGGTCTTCTGATTTAATGAAAACCGTTTGTCTACCAGAGTCTGGTGTAAGTTTTAATGATATGATGACAAGTGGAGTCAATCAAATTGATTTTAAAACATTTAGTTGCAATGACGTTACATAAGGATTCTGCAACATAAAAGCATTCAAAAAAATCGTTTTTCGCGAGAGGCTTCATCAGTGAATTAGTATCTTCTGTCCCTTTTTCATGAACTAAACAACTGTTAAGGTATAAGGTTGCAAACGCTCTAACAATATTTCACACCTAATTTTCAGATATTTTCGTGCTACTCAAAATTATTAAGTAGTAAAATTAGTTTATCAAATATTTTCAGTATCATGAACCGACCTAAAAAAATCATTAAAACCGAAGAAGCATTAAACTTTTGTTCCGTACTATTATGAGACGCTTTCATGATCCTACCAATATCAAGCTCAAGACCTTCGATCCCAATAAATACTTTCATAGCAAGTGAAACAATGACTTCCGTCCTTGAAATAACTTATTTAAAATAATAAGTCCAAAGTTTCATTTCGCGTAGAGATGTCTACAATTATCTAACTAACTTGATGTATTTAATAGTTCATTTTTAAAAGTTGAAGTCCGATCTCGTTAAGTAATAAATGTGATGCCATTGTCGAGTTTTTTATATGTATATTCATACAATAGAACATATAACTGTGAATTACGGAATAACAAACAAATGTAAAAATAAATTTTAAAAATAACGATTCCTGATTACGGGACCTCCCAAATTTATTGAACACTGTACACACCCAAAATATTCTAATATATATATATATATATATATATATATATATATATATATATATATATATACATTTAAAAAATTAAACTGATAGAAAAATGGAATGCACGTTGAACCTAAAGTGTAACAAGAAAATAATTAAATCCTCGTTAACATTGAGTCCAAATAGGGAAACCATTAGTTTAACGCCATATTCAGGACCACACAAACATTCCATAGATACCTCTTTTCCTCCCCCTCCCCCGATTTATAATATTATAAGTTAAAGTCGTATAAAAACAAGACGGGACTTTTGATTGTTTATCTGAAATTTTTTCAATTCAGACATTGATTCACGACTCAGCGTTAACCTCGTATAAACACATCTGTTTTACAAGGTTATCTGTTATGGTCTGTATAGATGAATGACAACTTGATAGACTTAGCTAAACTAAGATGTAGATAGATTCCAATCTCTAGAGAGGCATGTATCATAACAATGCTGCACTAGTGATATCCAGAAAAATATATGTTATATCCTAATGAAGAATAAATGAATGGTAACTGCTAAGAATTGTTTATGGATTATTATTACGTATATTCTTATTGGATAATTAAGTCACTAGATTATATGCATTTTCATATTCCTTTTATCATAAGCTTTCAAATGACTTATTAACTATTATAAGATTTAACATTCTTAGTTATTCTCGTTCTATTAGTTTCAGCCTCCCACACTCACAGCCACTTTTGACTTGACCTTGTATAATTGTTATTTTCTGTTTTATGGTGTGGTGCTGTCTGATTTGCTTGTATATAAACTGCGTATATTTGAAATATGTGATTTATACAGCGGAAGCTGCGACTGCGTAGATAGCTGTTAATAAACACTTGTATCTTCTGGATGATGGCTTTCGTAGTTCTCCAGGTTTCCGCCCCGTTCAGTAGAACTGTCTTGACATTTGTATTGAAAATCCTGACCTTGGTGTTGCTTGACAGTTGCTTTGAGTTCCAGATGTTCCTCAGTTGTAAATATGCTGCTCTTGCTTTGCCGATCTGCGCCTTCACATCTGCATCAGATCCACCCTGTTCATCAATGATGCTGCCTAGATATGTAAAGGTTTTTACATCTTCCAAATCTTCTCCGTCGATTGTGATTGGATCGGTGCATGCTGTGTTGTATCGAAGAATCCTGCTTTTCCCTTTGTGCATGCTGAGACCTAGTGTGGCTGAGGCTGCTGCTACATTGTTCGTCTTCTCCTGCATTTGATGTTGCATGTGCGATGGAAGAGCCAGATTATCTGCGAAGTCTAGATCGTCCAGCTGCATCCCGGGTGTCCACTGTATCCCATGCTTCCCCTCAGGTGTTGACGTCTTTATAATCCAGTCGATCACCAGGAGAAAGAGGACAGGTGAGAGTAAACAACCTTGCCTGACACCGGTCTTTATCTCGAACGAGCCTGTCAACTGTCCTCTATGCACGATTTTGCAGTTTAATCCATCATAAGAATACCGTGTGATATTGACTACCCTCTGAGGCACGTCGTAGTGTCGAAGAAGTTTACATAGTGTTGTCCTGTCCACGCTATCAAATGCTTTCTCGTAGTCAATGAAGTTGATGTAGAGTGATGAATTCCATTCAACTGATTGTTCCACAATGATCCGTAGTGTTCATTGTGGATGAATACTGACACTAACTCGCTAAAAAAACGCTAACCAGTATGGAGAAATAAGTGCCACTAAATAAATCCTCTTAACCTACAAATCATCATCTCATAAAAAAACAGTTCATCTATGTTATGTAAACTGTAATGTGCGATTCACGTTATAACCACATCGAAAAAACTTAATAATACATATAACCTCATAATAAACGGTAATTGATAATCGTAACAATATTATGTATCCGCATGTGTACACTAATGATAGTTTAAGCGAATCAATTGTATACTAACAGTAAATACACAAAGAACCAGTCTATCTAGTCCAAATAGACCGTAAATAAACTTAAATTACCGTAAATCCTCGTGAATTCACTTGAAGATAATAAATTTACAGAACTAAAATTGTATGAGTCACGGATTTACGATAAAAAGTTTACTTATTTAAGCATTCAAACCTATGTAAGTCAACCTTAAAAGTATACATAAATCAATTTCCATCATCACGTATATCAATGAAGGAACTGATATAAAGCTAGATTACTCTCAACAATGTCTATACGGTTAACTGACCTCTTTTAAATCGAATCATATATTTTATAAATATAAATGGGTGTGGAAAAAATCAACATTAAGATCTAGACAATCTATTATTGATTATCAATCTAGTGATTGGACAGTAGATTAAGAAAATACTGTATTCTTCAATCAATTTACCCGTCAATCGAAATATATGTAAAATTCACTAACCCCCCTCCCACCATTCATTATAAACACACTAATACAAACAATTCAATTACCAATTTTTTTTTAAAGCGAATACAAATGGTCAGTATAAAATAGAAGTTTAGGCAAAATAAGGTAAGAAAATTAAGAAATAAAACAATAGAGAAAAATAAACACTCTAGAAACTACCATTATAATCATTCAATAATCACCAAATTCAGTTATTGATTTTGAATTATATATGAAAAAAATTCTTCATTTGATAAATACATTTTAGAATGTAAAAAAAATGTGTGTTCGAATGTTTGATTATGTGATTTTTCTATTATTGATTTAAACAACTCAAAATGTGTATCAATAAGCGTTTTTGTAATAAATTAAGTTATAAATTCTTATGGTATTGTTTTACATGTACCTTCCTATCGTTATTTAGGACTGCAATCGATCAGTCTTATGTTGGCATATGTGAATCCTGTGTGGATTGCCTCGATATAGCTTTAAGTCACAAGCTTTTTAAGCAAAGATGGCTAGTGGCTAGTAGTGGAATTCAGGACGCGCGTTTCGTCCTATTTGGGACTTGTCAGCTGGATATACCTGCATCTCAGAGTTGGCGTTCACTGACGAGTCCTAAGTAGGACGAAACGCGCGTCTTGGATTCCAATGCTAGCCACTATTCATCTTTGCTTAATTAAGTTATAGTCTAGAACTTTCAAATGATTGAAAAATTGTTTTTATTTGTTTTATTCTTGTAAAAACGAGCAACATAATGATTTCTTGTTACACCTATAGAAATACCATTAAATGATAAAAGGAAATGGACAGTCAATGACTTTCAGGTTTAAGACTTAACAGGATTGTTAAGCCATTTAGCCCTATGAGGAATTAGACTCTAAACCTTTACAGCTTTCAATGAGCCTTACACTTTTGAACTATTTTGCTTAGTAAAATAAGTTATGTTAGATAATCAGTTCATGATGAGATTATTTGCATACTAGTTTATAATGAATGGGTGTAGGTAACGACTAAGGAGGTTAGTATCGGCAGTTTATTCTAAGCTATTGTGTAACATCTATTGTTAGTTTATCATAGTTCACTATCATTGTCAGCTCTTCATAAATACTAACATCAAATTCGCATAAATCTACACAAGATGACCACCTAAGTAGGTAATAAGAGAACATAATAATTTGTGTGTGAAACATAATCCATTTATTAAGTGGAAAGTGTGTTGTTTGTAAAGTCATTCTTATAACTAGGTCAAAATCAATTTGAGAAATTCAATCATATATAAAAAAACAGTACATCAATTAAAAGTGAATCTCTTTTCTCTTTTGACAAAATGGATTGAAAAGCGTCATATGATCGTGCTGAAAGCTATCACTTATGATAACAAAAATCATAGTCAAAGAAATCAAATATTTAGCTCTTGGTTAAAATTGACCATGGATCTTCAATGTGGCTCTTCAACTTCAAAAACGAATTAGAACAGTTGAGGCTATCAGGACTCAGTATCTAAGTGAATAACGTGATTGCCGACGAGTCTCAAATAGGACGAAACGCGTGTTATGGATTCCACTACTAACCAATACCCATCTTTACTTACAATAGTTTTTTTAATACTTAACAGATTTTATCGACTTTACAAATTATATCAGACTGTGATGGAAATTACCTTTAATTTATATCAGATTCAGCAAATCAACTTGTGAAAACAAAATTATATACTGTAGCTTGTAAAATCATTATCTTATTCAATATTTACATAGAATCAGTATTATACAAACTATTGAACTGGAAAGTATTATTGGTGATTTTCATTAATTTAAGATAAATATTGTACATTTATTTATTCATAGAGTAGTGTAGGTTTTTTTCGAAAATATATTTTCCAGTCAGTTGTCACCATGTTAAAGGTCTTCGAAGATCATAGATACAACATTGTTTATTAGTATCAACCATCATGAAACTAAGGTTCAAAACATTCTGTCGATTGTAACCAATTACCAGTTAGCAACAAAACATGACATTATAAGTTCACTTGGGAAATTCCCTACAAAGAAGTTAGATTCTTGAACAATAGAAAATTATAGTGTATACGATTATTTGGACAGTTTTGGTTATTTCATTATCGCTCTATATATGGATATTTAGATGCTATTTTCATTTGATCTATAATTAACGATTTCAGATGCCATAGTAACAGTTTATTTATTAATGTTTCCTAAAGTTGCTAACAAAAACGCTAGCGTAGAGTACATTACAAAATGAACACCTAACTACAGTCCAATAAACACTAACTGTTAATTTTATATTCAAGAGGCCAAAAGAATAAACAACCTAATTCAAAGATGGAAATACATGCACATACATTCAATAGAACATTCAAGAATTAACTAGAATGAAATATTGTATGATTCACACAATATATGTATAGATTCAGTTGTCAAAAGTTATCACTAGAATACAGTACTCATATTTTCTGTAAAGCTATACAATTTTGTTTAAATTCTTAACGAAAGATTTCATTCAGTTATACTATTAAGTGTGAGATTTAATAATTCGACCAGTTATTTTGTAATATCTAGCTGTTATTTACATAAAGGATGCCCGATGCATTCATAATAGTTTTTCTTTGGAGAATAATTTCTGATCACATACATAACAGTACATAACAAATACATACCAATGCAATTTTATTAAATATGGAAATTATTTATCAAATCGAAAGTAAAATCTCAAACATCAGTCTCTTCCACAATACACAGATGGGTTTTTAAATAAAGTAATCAGTGTGAGACTTTAAAGTTTCGGTTTCGATTCGTGAAAGGCTGAGTTCCAGATCAGAATAAGTTAACTGCCCCTGGCTCTCTGGTTTTCACTGAGTCGTAATACGATATCAGTCTGTCACGATAAACTACATCTAAATTAAATTAAATCTAATATTATAACCTACTAATCCAGACCATGATAATGTTAAATTAATTGATACAAAAAGTTTACTTACATAAATTGAAGAATTCTCTATACATTGGACTGTTTTGCCATATGCCATACTTATAAGAAATTCATGATAGTACCCCGTTCCTGATGGAGTAAACATTTTTGGACTGGAGACATGATGAACTCTAAAGTAAATCAAAAGATAACCAGACTTAGTTATTTTTCAGATCAAAGTATTGTTCAATGTATAGCTGTGGTTACAAGCAGGTTCATTCTTAAACAATTCATATTATCAGAATGGAGTTTGTGGAGATTGTATTAATTTTTTAGTCAATCCAAAATAGACTACCATACCAGGACAAAACGGCCGTCCAGTGCTTCCACGTTTTCAGTGGTGATCTAATTCAAATCGATTCATTAATTCAACTATTAAATTAGTATTATCTCCACTCTGATAATAATCATCGTGTGCTCACTAGTGACTGACTTCAAAATGGATTTCCAGGTGTTCTAGTGAGAAGTTGTGACCAGTGGAGTCCAACCGTGTCTGTTGTAAGGCAGCTGCTCACTGGAGATAATAGTGGACGGTCGCGCAAGATGGTGGATTGGTTGAAGTTAGACATTAACACCGTTGGATGCCAGCTCAGTGGTTCAAAGGTTGTGTTCGCCCGCGAAACCGAATGTCTTGGGTCTACTGAGGAGTCCCACACTAGGACGAAACAGTCGCCCAGTGCTTCCGGGTTTTCAATGGTGGTCTAGCTTAAATCGACTCATGAATTCAACTAATAAATCCATATTATGTCATTCTAAGAAGAAAAAGGAAATATTCTAGTGTGGTGAGACGAAAATGTTAACTCTACCATTGAAAAATTATAAGAGTTTTATGCATCAAACATTGACGAATACGAAGTCCACTTCCTGTCCTACTTGAGGTGCATCTACTGAATAGAAATGTCCAATCCCCAGCGTTATTCATTGTCAACTCCCATAAGAATAAGATCAACTTATTAATATACTCAATATCAAAACATTCACTCAATGAGCTTTATATGTCAACAAAAAAAACTGTTTAATTCCGTCCTGATGAACATCAAAAACAATGTGGATAAACAAAAACTTTCCAAAACTGTATAAATTTTACCTGTCAATCACATCAGTTAAATTATATTGAAAACCAGAGGCTGTAATTGGTTGTGTATCAGTCACACATATACTATGATTCACTGCAATTGTACCTGGTTCACATAAATGACATGCTTCTGTAACTGTATGTAAACTGGATGCATCACCAACTACAATGGAATTATTTGGACATTTTGTACAATTGATTATATTTGTTTTATTAATTTCATCATATTGTACTGAATAATATAGACCAGATGGACAAGTTTTACACCTATAAAATTAATAAAACAAAATAATGAAAATAAAGAATTGTCAGGATGAATACTGTTCAGTTTTCAAGTACAATGTAACGGATAGCACATTCTGGATCAAGTGTTTAGCATACAAGATCAAAAATAAAAATTAAGCTTAGAAGAAATGAAGATAAAACTTGACCAAATGTTATACTTAAAAAAAAACACAATTAGCA